CTGAAAAATAAAATACCTCCAAGCTGGAATTGATGGCTGTGGAGAATACTACTTCTCCTAGGTCAGAACTGAAATATCGTGACAAAGATTGGATAGATTGCCAGGATTCTGTTTGCTTTGCTTATGCTTTACTGATCATAAAATCTTTACTTTTTGTTACCTGTCAACATATAGATATAGGAACAGCAGTAAGAGTCTACAGCCATGCTAGCCAGCTCTGTGAGGCTGTATTTATTTTACAGCTGTTGAGCTAATGCTAATGTCAGCATGCTAACATGCTTATATTTAGTAGGTATTTCAGTTTGCCATGTTTCATCACTTGGTGTGCTAACGCTTCATAATTAGAAAATAAAGCAGTGGCTAATGGAAACGCCTTTAGTTTTGCAGGTAAGAAGTATCTTACAGAGTGAAATTTTGACCTGATGATGCAGTTCATCCTCAGGGAAACATGAATACACCAAATCCATCCAACAGTGAAATATTTCACTTAAAAGCACAAATGTCAACTTCTGTGTTAAATGAAATATCAGGAGATCCCCAAAGTTTTAAGGGTGCTGTGTCTGGGAACCATGAATGTCTGAACAAAAATATGCTCCCAAACCAAATTGTAGATGAGTTTTCACAGAATATCGCAATTTAGCATTAGCATTAACTCAAAGTACTGCTGTGCAGAAAAGTCACCACACATTAGAAATGAATTTCTATCATGATATTAACTACAAACCCTAGTTTACCAGTTGGTAACACGTTGAAGTCAGGTGTGAGGAGAGGGAGAGAGATCCAGAGATAGATGGAAGAGGATAATAGTACTTAAAACTTTAAGCACCCAGATCATCTCAGTCAGCTGCATTAGACGATCAGAGTCACTTCCTACCGCATTCCTCTGTGTGTACTTTGTGTGTGTGTGTGTTATTCGTTTCTCTCATAGCTGTGTTTGTGTCAGCTGTATGTATTACATGACTTCTCTCTGAATATTCATCATCCTCAAATCCATGTTTATTCATTTGTATGGTTTTCTTTGTTTGTGTGATCAAGGTTTTGTGCCAGACGTGCAAGATGCCAGCTGTGTATGATGTTGGAGTTGCCAGGATGTCTTTCCATGCAGGTTAATTAATATTTAGATTTCAAACACATACACATTCAGCAGTGATCATGTTGAACACATCTGAGAGCCCGTAGCAGGAGTTTTGTTCCACAGCTACAAGCCCGGCAGCCAGACTCAAGCGTCAAAGAAACCGTTCGACCATCTGGACTTCACCTACACCTTTAAGCCATTGGAACTCCATGCAGGTCAGAGCACCTTATTCCTGTTTTTTTTCATTTGTTAAATTTGCTCAGTTCTTCATGACAAACGGTCCAAAAACTAAAGGAGAAATTCTCAGCAAATTCTCACATTTGAGAAACTGGAAACAGACAATGTTTTGTGTTTTTTGCCTAAGTTATCAAAAATTGTTGGTGATAGATTTTCTGTCAGTTGTGTAGTCTTGGTGGTCAGATGTTAACAGAAATCAGTCTGGATCAATTCCAGTGTTACATTTGCTGGATTTAGAGTCTTAAATTAATACTGAAATAAAAAAGCTATTTTGCAACAACTTTGGTTATATATGCATCCTGCAATATGGGTTTGAATACCTTTAGGTATTTCTGTCACTTTTATTCTTTAATTATTATATTTCTTATATTTTTCCATTTTTCACTATTTTAATTATTTTCTTGTTTTATTCCGCTTATTTTTAATCACTTTGTTACTGTCTCATTCATGTTGTAGAAAAACCTTAAAATGTTTATTCATCAACATAAAGTTTTTGTTTTGTTTGTGAAGGATCTGGGCAGAGACATCTATGATCTTTATGCTGAGTATGAGGATGAGGAGGGAAGGAGGAGGAGGAGGAGGAGGCTCGTTTCTCAGCATCTCCCTCCCGCCTGTTGATCTTCTCAACCAAACACTTCATTCTCAACATCAATGTGGAGGAACGGTAACTTACTCTATTGAAATTCTACCTCAAATACACTGCTTCAGTAGGTTGGTAGGTTGACAAATCTTTTTGTTACGAGACATGAAGGACCTCATTGAACTAGATCATAACTCATATTTAGCAGACTGCAGATTCTCACACAGGAGGAGCTGTTCAGTCATGGTCAGATCAGTTCTTTGCCTGCAAAGAACTGATCCCCCCACAACCCCCCCCCCCAACCCCCCACCCCCACCCCACTCCCACCCCAAACAGATAATTAAGATGATTAATTAACTATTTATTACTTATTAAAGATTTCCAACTTTTTCTCAGTTTAAAGGGGCTATTTTTGCTTATGCTACGTAGCATTACCAATGGCCAGTGTTAGCATTTAGCATTAACACCTGTTTACTTACCAGTCTTGCCACGAGCTTCAGCCATCGCTGCATTTACGTCCTCTGAGCAATGCTACTTCTTCAGGGCGGGCTGGATGCTACAGTTACTCACTTTCAGAAAGTGACGAGATGGTCAGGCCAGACCTGAGCTAGTTAGCATGCTAACTTCAGTACAAGAAAAGAAATGATAGAAATGGAGGCAAGCTGCAAGTTGCTTTCCACCACTGGAGACAGCTCTTGATAAGTAAAAGAATGAAGTTTGATGCTGAACTTGCAACGTTTCTTCTAGACAGAGAAGTAAACAGCTGTTAATGCTAACGTTGGCTATGTAGCAATAGCAAAACAAACAGCTCCTTTAATGCCATTATATATTGAATACTTTTTTGGCTGTTGTACAAAATGAGCAATTTGGCATTTCACCATTCTCTTACATTTTTGTACAAATAACTGAAAAATTACCGTTATATTAATAGATGATATGATTATATTCTCTAGTGTTAAATAATTAATGACAGACATCTGAACAGAGACAGTTGTAATCTGCAAAGGTCAATTCTTAAATGTGTGGCTTTCTATTACAACTGCTTTCTCAAAATAGTTCAAATTATATCACTACTATTTTCTTTTTTCTTTTTTTTTCTTTTTTTTTTTTACCTGTATTGTATTTGACTTTGTTCTTGCCTCATTTCCCTTCCTCCAGGTTTACCAACTGCCCTACAGATTAGCTGCCAGGTATCCAAAAACACGGATTGGCCGGTTGGCCACGTACACGGACCATAGCAGGAAGTTGGACCTGTGTGATGACTACATCGTCCAGAGCAATGAGTTCTTCTTTGATCGAGATCCCAAAATCTTCCACAACATCTTCAACTTCTACAGGTGAACTATAATAAAGATTAAACACTGTAAAACAGGGTTACGTGTTAACATGAACTAATTCAGAAGCAGGCCACACATTTATGCAGTCTTGAGTCCACAGTGAGTTTTCCTCTCCTTTATGACCACTTAGAATAACTCTGGACGTTTTCCCGTCTCTGTCCTCTCCATCAGAACTGGAGTGCTGTGGATTAAAGATGAGCTGTGTCCCCGCAGTTTCCTGGAGGAGATAAACTACTGGGGCGTCAGAATCAAAAACAGCCAACGATGCTGCCGCATCTCCTTCGAAGAGAGGCAGGATGAGCTGAATGAGCAACTGAAAATACAGAAGCAGCTGATGGCAGAGGTGGGATGGCTGGCTTTTACATTTTTATAAGGGGCGTAGAAAGGCATGTACCCGAATCTCTGAAGACTTGTAGTAGACAGCCTTGTCCCAGATCTCTCTGTAAATATATCTGTTAGCAAAACATGGCGAAAAGGAGAACCAATTAAGATAATCAGAGCCTCTTTTTTTTTTTTGAGGAAATAAGGTTTGTTAGGTCATCAGGCTGAGACAGATTTGGACATCACAGCCAGCAGTTTAATCACTGCTCTGTACCACTGATCATACATAAGCTGCAGTAGTGAACAGCCATACGCAGCAGAGGCCCGACAGTCTTAAGGTTTCCGTTCCCACTTATGATCTCAGCAGTTGAGTTTCTCTCCTCAACTTAAAGGAGTTTATCAGTGGGTGGAGTCTGTGGTTGAGAAGAGAACCTGTCGACTGTTGGTAAATATGGATTACGGTTTGAGGTTGTATGGTTAAAAAAAAAACAAAAAAAACGCTAATAGTCACAGTTCAATAAATCCTCTTGATATGTTGAGTTAGTCTGGATGAAAGACAACAGACTGGATGGGGACAACACTTGGTTTGTAACTATTGTATGTTGAGCTTTTTTTCCTACAACGGGACACCTCCTGAAAAACTATTTTCTCTCACTTTACTATAGTGCTAGCTATCATTGCATATTGTTTTTTTTGGATATACTGGTTGAAATTTGTGCCTCCACCTAAATACAACACAGGTGAATGGAAATTGATTTGTGGTTCTTACAGCATTGAAAAATGACATTTATAAAATAACTCTTTTCAGAAAGCATGTCCCAGTTACTGTGGATAATCCTCAGAACACACTGGAGACAGTTTACAATGGAATTTAGCATCCCTATGAACTATTGCAGTAATCCGTGTGCACTACTTATTGGTGTTTCCCACCTGCCAGGGACTGGATGTTTTAAAGAATTGCAAAATAAAAATGTCAAGAGGTCATCACCTAATAACTTCATTGGTTCTGCAGTTTGGTTTTAATTTTTACCTGAGACATTTTGTCAGTAATCTGCTGGCTGACTCTGAGTCTGTCTGACCTACATTATAAATCACTGCCGTCTTGACAGATGGAGAGCAGAGAATAAGCTTTGTCTTGGCACAGTTTCTTGCACAGAGGTCCCACTCTGATGCAGTTTGTTGTGTCTTCTTGACATTTAGCTTTTGGTTTTTAGCTTGTGATATTCACATTTTAGTTTGTGGTGGTTAGTTTGCTTTGTCCTCATTTTATTAGTTTATTTAATTAATATATTACTGTTTTTTCATCTACATACATCCATACTTTTTATTCACTGTATTCTTACAACCTTAACGCCTGTTCTGTTTGTTTCTGTGTTACTTCAAAGCATTTATTCGTTGTTTTTAATACTCATTTATAAAAACATTAGCCGCTTCTCGTTTTTTGTTAGTGACAATAAAGTTTCTCCTGTTTCTTTTCTTCTCCAGGTGGAGATGGAGGAGAACGAGGAGTTATTTCACGGCATGGCCTTCGGGCCGACCAGGAGGAAAATCTGGAACCTGATGGAGAAGCCGTTCTCCTCCATCACCGCCAAGCTGATGGGGGTCGCCTCCTCGGTCTTCGTGCTGGTCTCTCTGGTCGCCATGACTCTCAACACCGTGGAAGAATTGCAGTACAAAGTGTGTGTTATATTCTGTGGGTGTGTGGGAACAGTAAGAAGGCAAAATGCAGATTATTTCAGGCCTGTTTTTAAATCCAGTGGTTTCCATCTGAAGCTAGTAAACTTTGTAAAGTGACAGTAAATAGAAATCCCGCTTTTGACTGTTTATTGGATGAACCATTACTCCCCATTAGCTCTGATGGTAAGAGAAACTTTAGACAAATCAGGTTTCACTGAGATTTCTATTAATAACAAACTTGAGTAAACACAACTTCCATACTCATCTCCAGACGGCCTCAGGCCAGCTCAGTGGCAGATTCTACGGAGAACACGTAGAGACATTCTGCATCGCCTTCTTCACCCTGGAGTACCTGCTGCGCCTGGCGTCCACCCCTGACCTCAAGCGTTTCGGGCGTAGCGTCCTGAACACAGTCGACCTGATCGCCATCCTGCCGCACTACCTGCAGATGGTCCTGGAGTGTTTCGAGGACAAGGACATGCACCTGCATTCAGGGGACATCGAGGCCGTGGCGCGTGTTGGAAAGGTGAAATAAGGGCAGATGGAAGAGCTTATGATTAGAAATAATGATTCAAAAATGATTTAATAATTTAGTTAATGATGAAATAAATGAATTAGATGTATTTTTCTCACCCATATTGGTTCTCCTGTGTTTTTTCTCTGCAGGTGGGTCAGGTTCTGAGGATCATGCGTCTGATGCGAATCTTCAGGATTCTGAAGCTGGCTCGTCACTCGACGGGCCTCAGAGCCTTTGGCTTCACACTGAGACAGTGCTACCAGCAGGTCAGACTGCAGCTTACAACACATAAACCGGTTAGAGAAAACTCCATCACATTTGTTGGAGGATCGATGAAGAAAGTGTTTTGGAAATGTTGAATTTAATTTTAAAAGGCCTCACAGTTAAGAGCCATTTAACATATTGAGGAAATGGAAAATAAAGTGTGTTTGTGTGCAGGTGGGCTGTTTGCTTCTCTTCATCGGCATGGGCATCTTCATGTTTTCTGCCATGGTGTACACTGTGGAGCATGACGTCTACAACACAAACTTCACCTCCATGCCACATGCATGGTGGTGGGCCGCTGTGAGTCTCAACTCATGAACATGTTCACGCACAGTCACTCAGACTGACAAACACTCTGATATATATCTGTTCTCTACCTGTTACCAGACGGTGTATAAAATGATCTTTAATCACTCTACATCCATCACTCTCTGACTCAGGAACTATGACACAGAAATGACTTCCTGTGTACTTTGTACCTTACTGTTTTTCACAACATAAACATAAAAAAATGTGTCTAAACTTGGAGGAGTTTGATATGTTGTTAATCTACACCTCTGATAAAGTGCAGTACACAGCAGCTGCCCTAAGCTTCTCTATGATAAGCATGGAGGACTGTGTCTTACCAAGGGGATCTTCTCTAAAGTGTAATTTTGTCAGTTTCATTTTCTGATATTTGAACCTTTTCTACATCTAATTCACATTATTTACTGTATGAAAATTGTGAAAATTATAGTTATAAAACAAATGGAGCTAATGCGAACCTGAGATTGTAGCTTGAGGGAGTCCAACCTTTTACTATGTGGCTTAAATGTTTTTAGAGTGCTGTTATCGAAATCACAGCTTTCAGTTAAAAACGATGTCCGAGGCTTAAAAAGCTCCAGGTGAAAACCATAGGTCCATGTTTGAGTGAGGCTAACATCAGTCACAGTGTCTTTATTTAAAAAACGGTTTGTGTCCTCAACATCTCATTTTGGAGTTAAGTATTTGTATTCAGTATTCTCTTGTTTTCTCCACCTTCCTCCGTGTCTCTCTGATCCTTCAGGTGAGTATTTCCACGGTGGGCTACGGCGACATGTTCCCAGAGACCAACCTGGGCCGCATCTTTGCCTGCATCTGCATCTCCTTTGGCGTCATCCTCAACGGCATGCCCATCTCGGTCCTCTACAACAAGTTCTCTGACTACTACACCAAGCTCAAGTCCCAGGAGTACACCGCTGTCACCAAGGCCCGCGGGAAGCTGCACTTTACCAGAAGGGCGGCGAAGAAGTTCTCCGAGTGCTGCGAGGAGGCCGTTCAGCCGAAGACTTCCCGGTTGCAGTGAGATTTTCGAAAATCTGGAAAATTTAAATCTTGGGAGAATTGTTTTTCGAGAAATCACTGATTCCTGAGCACGGATACAAGCAAACAGTCCCTTCAGAAACCTGAGCGTGACATCACAGGATGCTAATGTGTTTCTACAGTCTGCAGATGAACAATGAACCTGACAATGCTGTGCAATGATCACTTTACCCCCTCAGACCTTGAGTCAGGATTTGAATGCGGGAGTCACTGCGGTTTCAACAGTTTCTGTTGTTCCTGAAGGGACTCCTGTATATCTGCATCAGCAGGCACCGGGAGCAAGGGGGAGAAACATCCTCTGTACCGGTGCTGCAAGTTCATAGTAACCTGGAGAACAAAAAAAAAAAAATGTTTTTGGCAGTTTTTTCTTATTTTATACTCAACCTTTTAGTCTGTTTAATCTACATACATCTACGCTAAAGCTGTCCACACCACCACCATCAGCCTCTTCTCCTCATCCATCAGCCTCTAAAGCTCACATGTAATCCAGGATTCAGGAGTGAACGACAACAGGACTGAATTAAATCATAAGTTTAAGACCCAACATCTGGACGATGGATATGAGACCCGTTTATCTCGCCCGTGCGTCTCTCTCTCTTTCTAATAATAAACCTGTCTCTCTATCTTGTCGTCATAAAGCCATGAAGCTCTGTGTGTGTGTGTGTGTGTGTGTGTGTGTGTGTGTGTGTGTGTGTGTGTGTGTGTGTGTGTGTGACCTGTTTAACAGTGAACTCAAGCTGAACTTGAGTGTGACAGTGGAGCTCTCCTCACTGTTCTCGGATCAGCTGTAATGAACAGGACGCTGTTACTTCCTGGTTTAAGGTTTACCAAAAGATCAATGTATTTTTTGACAGGCGGCTACTGAACTAATAAAGTAATAATTGGACATTTTGGGAAACACACTTGTTCACTTAATTGCATATTAAATGAGTAAATTGATACCAGTCAGGTATCAGGTGATTACCTTTGTGTAGAATGAAGACATGGGCTGTCCTGGCTCTGTCCAAAGATAAAAGGTGTGCCAAGGCGATAGCCTAAGCACAGACGAGCCAGGAAGTCACTGGCCAGACCAGGAAGTGGTCCCTGCATCGAACTCCCCATTGAAGCGCAAACTAACTTTTATGTGATTTTGAATAGATGAAACAAAGATAAACCATGTTCATTTGTTAACTTGTTGGTGTTTTGTTACCTTTGGACAGTCAGCTGTGTCCAGCTTCATTTATCAGACAGATATGAGAGTGAGAAAGTAAATAAGTGTATTTCCCAAAATGACAAACTATTCCTTTAACTTATGTTCATATTGTTGCACTAAAGTGAATGTAACAGTACTGAGCCACTACTGAACTGAGGACAGTCAGAATGAGTATTGTAACATCACATCATTATGACCTACAGTCAGTGACGATGAAAATTTGAACTGAACACAGTTGAAATCAGCAACTCAAGGGATATGATTGTATATTTCACAGTATTGATGGACCTTTCTCACGGATGTCATGTCACAGCAGGAAAAGCACAGGTGTAAATTTAGTGAGTGATGGCTGAATACCATTTAGCTGCTGGTTCACTGTCATAACTTACTGGAACAGAGTAATCGTTGATGGCGACGGTCAGAGCCGGAAGCAAATCGTTTATGGGTTGTTGAAAGTGAGTGACTGAGCAAGAGTATTAATGCTCTAAATATAGAGCTAAATCATCTTAAATCAGCGAAGTCATATTATTATGGCTGTAATATACATTTTAGTCTCTCTATAGAGTATAGCTGGGCGTACGTAATTTCAGTCTTAGCAGTTATAAACAACCGAACAAACAAAATGTCAGTCAGCTCGCCACAAACTGAATTTAGGCTTTTTTTCCTTTTCAATTATCACAAGTGGTTTTTATGCATTTGCAGACATCTTTTCTTAAACTGTCATATATCATTCTCACACTAATTAAAAAAAATATTTCATTATGATTTCATTTAAATATCAGCACCCCTGCACAGAAAAGCACTTTATTTGCTGGGTGAGAGAACAACAGCTCCAGCTTATGTGTTGATTACAATGAAAGCTTTTAATGAATAAAACAGTAAGACATACAGTTAGGTGATAATATCAATCACAATAATCTTTATTTTGCAAACATTCTTTTCCTCTGATACAATTATTGTTCACAAAGTACAAAATATTACAAAAAAAAAAAACTGAGGATGGCAGTAACAATCAAAACTGGACAGTAAGTAGTTCCTGCTGTGTGTATTCACCGACGGCCCCTGTGTTCACTAGTCCATGTTAAAGGGCCTGTTTACCAAATAACCTTTAGGTTCTATCAAGACATGCAGATATTTCTGGTTTTATTTGTCCAGGTTTGAGATATGTTTCTGAATTATTTGAGAATTTGTGTACTTTTCATCTGTGTCTACACACAAGTGGCATCTGTGTATTTGAACCCGTTTTTCTTGCAGCATCACATTTCATTATTGACACGAACACAATCCATTTTTCCATCAACGACTGAAATGACAGTGTTCCAGGTCGTATCCACTTCCTGAGAACGTTCCCATCCACAGCTACAAACACACTCAGTCTTGTAGGTGTTTGCTGGACAAACACTCACTGCTGCACGGGAGGTGATGTGTTTAATGTCACCAGTTTGTTTGAATTAAAAAAAAAAGTCTCTACTTGTTCAGATTCTCCAGCAGGATTTCAGCTCCTTTGTTGTTGCTGATACTGCTGAGCTCTGATGTGATGGACTTCAGCGTCTCCTTCACCTCTGTGGCCACAGACTTGTCACAGCTGTTCAGGAGGCTGCACACACAAACAGGCAGATTATGAAAATGTGGTTAGAAGATATTGAAACCTTTTCCACCAGGTTTAATTAACAAAAGCAAACAAGACTAAATCAAAACCTAGAATATGGCTGGACCACATCATAGGCTTTTATCATTCTGCCTAGTGTCAGCTGGTTTCAGCTCTCTCCTCCTCTCTGTCCTCACATATACAGTATTTTCATACAGCTGAATTCACAATAAAACTGTTCTCATTTACATGTTTTTCTGTTTCTGCTGTCATGACAACCGAACAAGTTTGAAACGGTGACTGAAACGTGGCCCATTAAACTACATGTTAACCAGCAGTCACTTTCAAGCTGCTGCTAAAAGCCTGATTTTATAACCTTGACGTCATCTGACAAAATCCCCAAACACATACATTAAAGACACCGGCTGTGCTGTGATTTCAGCTGTATTTACTGACTCGATCAGTCACAGAGAAACTTAAGAGGCTCATTCACGTCACGTCAGTAGCTAAGGATTATCCAAGAAGTTGTAAAGGGGTCTGAAAAGTTGGTTAATCTAGTGACAAAGGTGCTGCTTGTTCACAGTAAACCATTTTAAAAGAGCAACGACCAATGAGGAAACTCCAACACTTGGCCAGCCGACCGATGGTGTGACCCTATCGATGTGATGCGATGTTTTTAGATGTTTTTTTTTTTTTGCAATTAAACTGCAGGAGCAATTAAAAATAGCAAAAATTGTCGCTGTTTTTCTTTCGTATAATTCATGAAGAATTAAAAAATGAAAATGGCTCCAGCAGCTGTATACCTGTGGCTCCACCACAATGTTGCAGCAGTACAAAACAATTTACCCCCGCTCTCGTGTAAAACATGGGGAATTGCTTTACACGGTCTTCAACAGTAATGTTTGTTGGTAAATGTGAGACGTTCGTATCACACATCTCTGCAGCTTCACATGCTTCACAACCAGAAACAAGGAAGTGAGTTTTGTGCTCTCAGGAAATTATGATGATCTGTGAAATATGCGGAAAAGTTGCAGTGATTGGACATAAATTCAAGGTCGCCCAGAATTCACTGGGATTGGTTGAATTTGTGTTAATTATTGCGGTTGCGACATTCTGGATGGACTGACTAACGCTGTTGACAAAGAGGTTGTAGATTATCCAGAATAAGTCAGACAATGTTTCTGAATTTTTTAGTATAGTGGGCAGCACAGCATCCCCCAGTATACTGCGGGGGAGGCAGATAAATGAAAAGCTAGAGGAGAGAATTTGTTTTCTGTGATGTGGATGACACTTTAAGTGGCTGCATTGTATTGTGTAACTGCATGTCACTCATGTCGTGTGTGTGTGTGTGTGTGTGTGTGTGTGTGTGTGTGTACTGACCTGCAGAGCACCATGGCTCCTCTGTTGACTTTCACCCAGCTCTTCAGTTTGTCTGTCCCCACTGTGTCCACCAGTATCCTGCCAAAACGCTCTGAGAGGGCGAGAGAGGTAGACATCAACAGGGAATGGAAGGTAGAGAGACAGAGGAAACTTTAAACTTTAACCTTTATTTTCCTTCACCAAGGAGGTGGTTTCTGTCCTGTTTGTCTTAAAAACTTTACTATTTTAATGTCATTTGGTGGAAAGTTGGTTCAATAGTTTTTGGTGCAGTGAAATTATTTTTGACTTTCACACCAGAAAGCAGCAGTGTGTGTGCGAGTGTGCACGCGTTTACCTTCCTTGCCTGCCTCTGACAGTGTCATGTCCTGCTCTATGAGCCATTTGAGCACCAGGTGTCCTGCTGGGTGCTCGGCCATGTGAAGCTACAGAGGAATGAAAACAGAGTTCACACTGAGGGACAAGACAATTCAACCAACAACGAACCGCTTCAGGAAAACCTCTTCTTGGGTTTGTGATGAAAACTGCCCGGTAGCTTCTGTATGATTGTTTTTCCCCGTGGTCATTATAAAATGAAAACTAATCTGAAACATTTGATAATTAACACTAAACAAAAAGAACAGCTGAGCCTGATGGGAATGTCATAAACTAAAGTATCAGAGAAATTTAATTTGAGTCTGATGATGATGATCACCAAAGTTTTTACAATCCATTACTGTGAAACTACATTTAATGAAGTTCCTTTCAAATCATTTCAACACAAGTTGTAATAAACTAATCAATAACTTTCTGAATTTCTGCACTAAGTCAGTTTGATGTTGTAAAG